TTACATAGATCATTTTACAGATAGTATTTCATTAGTCTGTGAAATGATCTATGTAAACAAACCTCATCACTTGAGAAGGTAGGTGATGCGGACGTCGTGGAAGACATTTTGTCCCGTAACGCTCGCCGCACTGTTGGGGGGGAGAAGCAGTGGGGGGGAGATGATCATGTTGCTGCGGTCTGCAGTCTGGACGTTAGATGTCGCTGAAAATTACACACTGTAGCTTTAATGCTAAACTACATCATAAAATTAATTCAAAAATATTAGCTGACAAAAAAAATTTGAAGGCAGTTAATTCAAATACTACTATTACTACTTCTACTAGTAATAATAATATATATTTTTTTTTTAATCACAGAAAAACCTTCTACTGTTACTTCTACTATGTATTATTATAGACTACAATCAGGTGTGGACTGGGACAAAAAATCGGCCATGGCATTGTGGACTAGACTGGCCCACCACATTTTTTTGGTGTACCGAATGTGTATAGCAACTGTGCAATACCAACTGTGCAATACCTTGAGGCCAGGTTAATGGAAATTAGTGAGAGTAGACACTTAAAATACTTTCAAAATCTTAATTTATTAATACTGTAAAATGTAAACTCCACCCCAGCACAGCAACAGTTCTTAGATCAATGAAAGAGAGGGAGAGAGAGAGAGAGAGAGAGAGAGAGAGAGAGAGAGAGAGAGAGAGAGAGAGAGAGATCTCCTGTTGGTTGCATTTTTAGTGGTGAATACCTTTTGCACAACTAGATTTTTGTGCTTTGTTGTGGGTGGTGATTCAAAAAGTTTTGTAAAAGACAAGGATCAGGACGGGCAAAGTAATCTGTTTCCTCCTGCTCTCTGCTCTCATCTCTCTCGCCATGTCTCTCCTCAGCCGCACTGACATCATGTTCACTGCTTGGTTCGCCTTCACTACAACCACCACCACCATCATATTTTACATCAGACACGGAGCAGATGAAGGGCCTGCTGTTGGGAACATGTCAATCAGTTTGACACATTTCGCAGCGTCCCTTTGAAGAACTTGTTTCTGTTTTCACACAGTTTCTCTGCGCCTCCCTTGCGTTTCTTATCCATTACTACTGTGAACACCGCTGCACAAAGTTCCAATGGAGAGTGAAAGTGTTTTTCTACTTTCTGATTGGCCTAGCCCTTCAGACTGTCAGGGATGATAACCAATGGGCTGCAGTAGCCTGTGGTAGGGGCCGGATGATCGGAACAGACTCTTGCACTGCGGATTTTATTTTTCTTCATGCATTATGCAAATATAACGAGGCCGATATATAATAATAATAATAATAATAATAATAATACATATTATTAATATACATGTCGGATCTGCTGGCCCAAACAGCACATCGGCCCACCGGGCAAATGCCCGGTACGCCCGATTACCAGTCCATACCTGACTACAATACAAATACTTCTACAATTAGCAGCACTACTACTATTAGTACTGGCTTGTTAATACTACTACTACTTCTACTTATATTCCTTAAGACTACTCTTATTGCTAACTACGTATTATTATATTTTTATTTTTATAATTGTTGAAATTGTGTTATTATTAATTATATTAATAGTATTAGTATTAGTATTAGTAGTAGTAGTAGTAGTCATAGTACTAGTGGGGAGTGGCAGTATAGTGTTTGGGGCATTGGGCTTGGAATACATAGGTTCTGAGTTCAAGCCCCACTCACACAGAATGTCACTCTGGGTTCCTGAGCAAAGACCCTTAGGCCCCGTCCACACGAAGCCGAACCCTGGCCTAACAATTTTTTCACCAAA